CAAATGGTTGATTTGAAGGATGGACTCGGCTGAGAAAAAAACTTTCTGGCGCGACACAGGGAACCATCTTTCCTTGCGGTGACTGAAGCTATTGATTCAATGTATTTGTTCCATCTCATGTCAGCAGACAGTGTAAGATCAAACAGACACAAAGAGGTGCTCTCGTGGAGCTGAGCATTAGACATTCTAATGGGAGGCATGGATAGTTCCCTGTGGTAAGTAAAAGAGAGCAGTTTTGTTTTTCAGGCATTAAAGTTAACCAGCCAATTCTTGCCCCAGTCCACAACCGATTGGAGGTTCTTTTTCGAGACAAACGGCCATGTTAATTTTGGCAATGACACCAGATTTGCTTTTGAGGCAGGAGTAAATAGCATGTAACAGGAAGTACCTTTTTGATGTTTGCTATATATACCGGGTATAACAAAAAGGGTTTGGTTAACTCAGTCATGGGCAAAGTGCGCCCCTCGGGCCACATGTGACCCGTTTGGACTTTCTGAATGACACACTTAATTTCATAAGGAAAATAATGGTTTTTTAAATTTTTCCGCTCTCACTTGTTCACTCACACACTCTCTCATACATAACCACATACGTAAACAATGATTAAAGTACAATGTTTCCTGAATTTTGTAAACATTTTGGGAAAGTAACGATCGGTAATTTTCACTATGGAAGACCATACGTGTAAATATCTTTTGTTTTTGAAACAGGAAATGTTCATAAGATTTTTTTTTTAAATGTTTTCATTTCGAAATGAATAAAATAGAAATAATTCGCACGCAGCGACATATGTTAATCACGTTGTTATTAGTGATAATATTAGACCAAGAATTCAATTTTTTTATTATTAATAAAATGTTTTCAAATAAATAAAACTTTCCTACAATTTCTAAGTCATATGTTTACTCAAACTGTTTTCTGTAGTGAAAATAGCTGAAGTGTCTACAACAAAAAAATATGTGTTTAGTAAGGTTGTCTGCCTTGTCATGCGCCATACATTATGCGGCCCAATGCTCGAAAAAGGTTGCCAATGCCTTGGCTAGTTGCTCTTGTAGACAGACAACGCTCGAACACGAGCGGCCAGTCATCACACTCACACACATACACACACACACACACACACACACACACACATATATATATATATCTGTGAAGATTTTAAATTATTTTCATAATAAAAATCTTTTTTTTTGTTTGTTTTTCAGTATATTTTTCTTCATATATATATATATATATATATATATATATATATATATATATATATATATATATATATATATATGGCGTGAAAAGTTGTATGACTCATCGGAAATCGCCAAGGTGTTTTTTCTCCGCACAGTTTCAACTTTGTAATTACACACAAAGTACTTATTGTTTTATATAAAAACATTCATATATGCATGTGCGTATGCTTGTTTGAGCTTGTATGTGTGTGTTTATATATGTGTGTGTGTGTGATTCCTATCTACAGAGATAAGACGCTATTTTGAAGAGTCTGACGTTTCGTATATATACAGGGTGTCCATAAAGTTCGTGTGCGCTTAAAAAAATAACTTTATTTGTATTTGCGATAGAAATAATCTGTAAAAAAATGTTATAAAGTTTAATGTATCTCGTTTTAAGTATAGTTATTGAATAATTCTTTACAACAAAATTTGCAACAATTTTTAGATATGTAAAAAATCTTCCCTTTGTATTACTAATGATGGAGGACATGTGGAAACTTAAATGAAATTTCAATAAAACCTTAAAAAAATATAGATTTACTTCTTTCTAATCTTTTTTACAAATTATTTCTATCGCAAATACAAAGTTATAAATTTTTAAAGTGCACACGAACTTTATGGACACCCTGTATAGTGACTAGATTCCAACTTTCATTTTCTTTATTCAACTTATTGACCCAAATTCAAACAATGATTTTAATGCTGCGTGCCTTCACTCGAACTAAAATTGTCAAACATGTAATTACTCGTGTAAGGAATTCGATTAGTGTTGGGTCCTTAGTACACATGTCCATGTAACAGACTAGCTTAGGCCTCATCGTTGCCAACATCTTGAGCCATTGTTTTTTGTTTTTTTTTTTGTTTATTTTTCATGAATTTGATACCAAAGCCTCTTCGAATTTATGATATGAACCCCCACCACTCAATTTTCATAAGGTAGTCGTCTCATAAAATACAAATTTTATTGTAACCTAATTATATACGAAAATGGATTATATGCAATATAGGTAACTAATTCAACTCGGAAAATTGAAAATAAATACAATGCATCTAAATACAAAATAGAAACATTTTTTTAAAAAATCAATTCACCTCAAGCAAGGCGATAATGCCACTAAGATGCAAGGGGCAGTTGGGAGGGGGGGGAGAGAATGAAAATACTTTATAAAGAACCGTAAACTCAAGGGATAAACCTCTATCCTGTTCCATAGACCGGGGAGTGTGAACCGGGTGATAGGTGAGCCTATCTTCTGTTAAGATGCCATTAATTCCATCTGAGGTTTGATCCAATATATGGTTTTACGCAGCGCCGGGGCAAAGGTTTCGTGCCTTACCGAATTTATTGACACGCCCCCCTACTCAATTACATCTCAATTGACATAAGGTAGTATTCATATAAAATACAAATTTTATTGTAACCTAATTATGTACAATAATGGATCATATGCAATGTAGGTGAACAATTCCACTCGGAAAATTGTTATATATATACAATGTATCTCTAAATACAAATCAAGACCTCTCATTTCATTTTAAATAAATCAACAATTGTTCTGTGGGGATTTTTAACGTCGACTTGAGATTTTTCTTGTTAAAAATTTTAATTCAAAAAATCACCGCATTGTTGATTCATTTAAAATGAAATGAGATGTCTCTAATTGAATTAAAGTCGAATTAATTAATTTAACACAAACAATATTATGGATGAAAGAAAATAGTGAATTTTATATATGAGTTTGGTGCAAAAATAATGACGTAATAATGTCGTTTTTTGACGTATTTTTTAACGTCAAAAAACGACATTCTTACGTCATTATTTTTGCATCAACCTAATAGTTTTTAGAGATTTAGCATAAGCAAAGCAAATTCACGGATTTGGATGAAAAAGAAGAACCCAGAATGATGTCAAAATCCGCAAAGAATTTGTAACCGTATAAAAATGTAGCCTCAGTTTTCAGCAACATGTGGGACCTTTTGAGGACGGATTTTTCTCAATGTACATAATGCAGTTTGTTCTTGGGCCCAACCGTCAAAGTAACGTCAAAATAGTGAACGTTGACTTTCGATTGAAGTGTCAATTTCACAAGTATACTTTTATTTATATACATGATACATTGTATTGAACAAAAATAGATAAGAAATTTATCGGGTATTGTAACATATGAAAAAGATCAAAGAGCATTCTAGTAATTTTTCCGACCAAATTGGTCAGAAATGTTGGCGTGTGAGTTGTGTTATATGACTTGTCTAAACAAGATTTTCTCTTACAGAGACATGTATATCTTATCTAACGTCATATACGTTAATTATTCAAACGTTGACATTAATAACACGTTATTGCCCCTTGCCCGTCTATTGAGCAGGAGTAGGGGTTTATTCCTTGTTTCCTGTTTAAGATTTAATTTCTGTTTCCTTCTAAAGTCTACGACAACTCTATACTTCTAACGTCCCCGCCTCAAATATGCAATTTTATTTATTATTTATTTTAATTCTAATCTTATTTCTTTTATTTTTTCCTCGTTAGTAGTAGATAAGTTCGCTTATCGTCCGGTTCACGCTCCTCCCCGGTCTTTTGAAGAGGCGTAGAGGTTTATCCCTTGTTCCCTGTTTAGGTCTGGGTTTCTGCCTCCTTCTAAAATATTTTTGTTCCTTTCACTCCCAATAGTCCCTTGCGTTTTATCGACTTGCTTAAGATGAATTGATTAATATATATATATATATATATATATATATATATATATATATATATATATATATATATATATATATATCTTAGGAAAGGTATGAATCCTCTTCCTCACCCTCCAGCTTTGGGTAAATAGCAGGACAGACTGGGTTCTATAGCCTTGGATGGCAACTGGTCTAGGAGAAGGACAACTCTGAATTCAAAACCTGCGGAGGGTCATTTGGGAACCTTGTGGCATTCGGTGCACCAGGTCTCTGTATTTGTCCCTTCAAAAAGTGTGGATGGTCCTGCACGAGGCCTTCACCACTATAATCAAATCTCATGTGCCGGTGTCGGGCTGTCGGTTTCCTGGAAACTGATCTGCTTGACCCTCATACGTCGAATCTCATCATCATCATTATCACACACATATATATATATATATATATATATATATATATATATATAACATCATCATCATCATAAAGTCGAGAATGCATCTCAGATTCTCCTGACTCGTTCCTTCCACCCATCAAGACATCAGACATCAGCGTCGGCAGGTCCCCCAGATGGCATGATGAGGTCTTCTAACCGATCTTTTTCCGCGCAATGGGTTCCATAGGCGGGTGTTACTCACAATTTCTGACATACTTCTCCAGGAATGACCAGCTAGCCGAAGCCTTCTCTCTCTTAGCGAAACTGAGATCGAAGGTGTCCATTTTTTGTTGGGTGTTTCTTCCAGATGATGTCCAATGCAACATCCATGTATATGTTACGTCAAGTGATGCTTCTGGGTGTTTTGTCAGTGTTCATGTTGTTGAGTCGTAGAGCAAGATAGATTCCACCGTGGCCTTACAGAAGACGCTCTTAAGATTGTCAGAAATGGAGGACTTCAAGATGGTGCTCAGACCTTCAAGGACATCTCATGCCCTTTCTTTGAGGATTTTGATGCCTCTCTCCGTTGACTGGATGCTGCTGCCGAGATAAATTCCTGAACGGACTTCATGTTGTTGCCGTTTTTCAACTTAAGCTCTCCTTCTTGGTTGTAGCTGAGAAATTCTGTTTTGCTTACATTGATGAAAAGAACAAACTTGCTGGCCACTTCTTCGATGAGATGGAGAAGTTTGGTAGCCCTATCAATCGTGTCTGACAGCAAGGCAAGATCATCTATGTCTGTTATTGTTTTGACTGGGTGACGTGAACGTCTTTATATATATATATATATATATATATATATATATATATATATATATATAATATAAACAGTATTAATAACATTTACCGGCCTGAATGTCCGAGAAATTTTCATAGAAAATATGCGTCCTCCAACAGGAATCGAACCTGTATCCTATACGGAACCGTCTTATAAGCCTGACGTGCCTTAACCGATTGAGCCACAGAGGATCGTTCGGTTAGCAATGTTGATTTTACTGCTTTTAAAGTAAAATCATGCTAACCGAACTATCCTCTGTGGCTCAATCGGTTAGGGCACGTCAGGCTATATGACGATTCCGTATAGGATACAAGTTTCTCGGATATTCAGGCCGGTAAATGTTATTAAAACTGTTTATTTTAAAGCAGAGCATTTACTTAAATATTTGTATCTATAAAAAGAATGTATAAACATAAAAATGTCTTAAAATAACTGTCGGACTTTTTCATTTCACTATATATATATATATATATATATATATATATATATATATATATATATTTTCACCTAATACAAGCTTCAAAAACTACTCAAGTCAGAGGGTTGTCTGAGTGCGATGGGTAAGAAGTGCATATTATAATACTATGTAGGATATATAGCTGTTGACGCTAGACTTGAAGAGGTTAAGATCGTAATATCCGGGTAAGTATTCTCTCGGGAGCCTGTTCCAAAAAGCAGCTGTACTGTTGAAGACGTTGCGTGGAACAAATTTCTCGCTAACGAAATAGGAATAAGAGTTCCACTTAAAGTTAGAGGTGAACTTGGTTTCCAACAATGGTAATATTTTAGTCAAGGAATAATAAGAAGACTCTGTCTCCAAGACAAACAATCCTTTCATCTTTGGCTTTTTTTTATGTCAATACTGTGTTCTGTTTGAGAATCAAAGACAATCAATCAAAGTAGCTGTAATGTCTTGTCGAGGATTTCAATGATCGATTAAATAGGCCGGAATATTGACAGGTTAAGTGACAAAATATTACGAAAATTCTTTTGTTTTGAAGCTGCTTTTTAGGCAGTCATTTTACAATATGAAGACAATTTTGGGAATATTCCGTCTTTATCTCCATCCATCCCGTCTCGATTGATTTTTCTTTTCTTTTTTTATTTAATCCATTTATTTTATTTTGGGGATTTTCTCTTTCTTGATTTTTGCTCTTTATTTGCCTTTACTTTTTCTTTCTTTCTTTCTTTCTTTCTTTCTTTCTTTCTTTCTTTCTTTTTAGCTTTATGATCTTTCTTTCTTTCTTTCTTTCTTTCTTTCTTTCTTTCTATTGTTTCTTTCTTTCTATCTTTCTATCTTTATTTTTTCTTTATATCTATATTTCTTTCTTTATATTTTTCTTTCTTTCCTTTTATTTTTCATTATTTCTTTCTTTCTTTCTAGCATTATGATCTTTCTTTGTTTCTGTCTTTCTTTATATTTTTCTTTATTTCTTTCGTTCTTTCTTTCTTTCTTTCTATCTATCTTTCTTTCTTTTTTTATTTATATCTATATTTCTTTCTTTATATTTTTATTTCTTTCCTTTTATTTTTCATTCTTTCTTTCTTTATATCTATCTTTCTTTCCTTTTTCTTTCCTTTTTCCTTCTTTCTTTCTTTCGTTCTTTCTTCCCTTTTTCTTTCTCTCTTTCCACGGTTTTTTCTTTCTATTTATATCCATCTTTCTTTCTATTTTTATTTCTTTCCTTTTTCGTTTCGTTTCCTTTCTTTCTTTCTTTCTTTCTTTCTTTCTTTCTTTCTTTCTTTCTTTGTGGGTTTGTCTTGATCAACCTGACTTTTAATTGGTTGTTCAAGACAAACACACAGGTCTATTTTTAATTCTGACCTTGTGTTTTCTCATCCCCACTTTCTTTATCTTTGGGAAAAAAGGTAAAATATTGCTTTTGAAATTTTCTTTAAAAAATCATTTAAATTTAAGTTACTTACCATCGACTGGAGAGGCAGAAAGATGCCGAAATACAAAAGCTATTATGTAGTGATTTCAACATATTTTTGTTATAATCTAATAATATATATATATAGATATTACAAATAATAATTATATATATATATTATAATCTAATAATATATATAGATATTACAACTAATAATTATATATAGATATTATAATCTAATAATATATATAGATATTACAACTAATAATTATATATAGATATTATAATCTAATAATATATATATAGGTATTACAAATAATAATTATATATAGATATTATAATCTAATAATATATATAGATGTTACAAATAATAATTATATATAGATATTATAATCTAATAATATATATATATATATATATATGTGTGTGTGTGTGTGTGTGTGTGTGTGTGTGTGTGTCATTCTCATACAGACCTGTTTCGCTGTATCACAACTCATCAGTGCGACTAGACAACCGAATGCTTCAAGCCAGTATCGAAACACAAGGGATTTGGTGTCAGTTGGGGTCTGTGCCCACAACAGAGAATGACGAATTCTAGCATATTGTTTTCTTACGAATGTAAACAAACACCAGACAGAGAGAGAGTGCTCTATTTATTAATGAAGAGCGATGCGTTAGCGCTGACAGCTGTTGTTTATAAAATTCGCCTATCTCTCAAAAGTGCTCAACCGAAAGATTTTCGAGTGTGTTATAATGTCATTCGCATACAAGCTTGTATAATAGACAATAGGCAAACAGTGATTACTTTTGGTAACGCTTTTTGTCATCCAACTTTATCAAGGCAGACAAAACCTAATTAACGAAACCAAAATGTTGTGTAGTTATTCCTAATTAAAAAAAAATTAAAGCGTCTTTTAAAAATCTTTTGAATTTCGAGCAATAATACAGCAATTTGATCCTTTACATATATATATATATATATATATATATATATATATATATATATATATATATATATATATATAAGGCCAACAACCTTTCTTTTAAACAACTTCCGTAGAATATGATGGACAAGGAAAATTTTATTTAGTTTTTCCAGCGTTCTTACATTTTTTCGTTTGGTAGGAGTGTGGGAATACGAAAACTGTCCATATTGTCCATTGTTCCAGTCTCTTTCCGCCACTTATCTAGCTATTTTTAAGGGGGGTGTTTTGGTGTAGTTAGTTTATTTTCATATTTTGACTGTGTAAGATGTATTATTTGTGAATTATAGTAGCAGCGATGATCGCGAGCCATTGTGTGTTGGGTATGATTGGAATTCGAGTGGGCGTCTTTCTATTAAAAAAAACTTTCTGTATCCCGTTACCATTGTTAAACAAGGTGAGTTTGATGGCAAAAGAGAGATGTTTGATGTACATAGTCTTTCTTATAATGAGATGTTTTCGGGAATTTGATTTACATAGAACTCAACCAGTTGTTTTTTTTTTTTTGTTAACGGATCTTGTAGATTGTGAATTGATAGAAGATTTTTAAGGTTATCTGCTCTAATAATTGACATGTGAGATGTCTACTCAAGGAGGTGTCAGTATGTCTGATATAGGCAATTGATTTATGACAAGAAACATTTTAACTATACAGGCAGGTGGTAAATAATTTGAATTTTACTTCTATATCGACGTCGAGAATGTGATTTTGCTATTAACCAGGAGTTAGTATATATATATATATATATATATATATATATATATATATATATGTGTGTGTGTGTGTGTGTGTGTGTGTGTGTGTGTGGTTTGTGCTTCCTGGTCTGGTTCAGATTGTTGATCACGTTAGATAACACGCTCTCCCCAGAAACTGTCACTTAGGTCTGCTCAGCATAGTTGCAATATAAACCACAGGTTGGCTCTGTGGGTGCTCAACACACACAAATATGCCTGAGTGAGCAAAAGGGATTAGCTAGCCGCCCTAATAGACGAGTTGTCAGCTATTATATATATATATATATATATATATATATATATATATATATATATATATATATATATATAAGACATTTTTATGTTTATATGTTCTTTTTATAGATATAAATAAATGCTCTGTTTATAATAAACAGTATTAACGACATTTACCGACCTGTATGTCCGAGTTTTCATAGTAACCTGTATCCTATGCGGAACCGTCATATAGCCTGACGTGCTTTACCGATTTAGCCACAGAGAAGCGTTTCGGTTAGCAAGGTCGATTTTACTGTTTTTAAACAACAATTCTCCATGGTTTTCTCTCGTACATTCATATCTGCTCAATGCGTATCCAAATGTAAACAAATGACGTCCCACATTATGAAATCGGTAAATGGTGGCTAAATCGGTAAAGCACGCAGGCTATATGACTGTTCCGTAGAGGATACAGGTTCGATTCCTGTCGGAGGACGCATATTTTCTCTGAAAATTTATCGACAATTCAGGCGGGTAAATGTCATTAATACTGTTCATTATAAACAGAGTATTTACTTAAATATTTGTAAGTATAAAATAACGTATAAACATAAAAAATATCTTGAAAATTATTGTCGGACTTAGTCCATTTAATAATGTGCGACGTCATATATATATATATATATATATATATATATATATATATATAAAATATAATATTTTGAATTTAACCGTTTTTTTTTATAGTCATGTATGTTGGCGGAAGAAAAGAGTATTTCTTTTAGGAAAGGATGTATTTGAAAAATCAAAGGTTCAGATTTATGTTTTGGTAAGATTCAGTAGCGGCACTCTCAATAATTTTCGGTCCAAGTAAATTAGGTAATAAGTAAGTTACTTAGTAATTGCTAAGTTACATTCTTTTTTTTAAGAAAGTAACTTAGTAAGGGAAATTCTTTGACGCCAGTCGGCCACACCCAGATATTACATGATCAATCGCATCCGGATGTTTTCAAGTACGCGAAAGGATGGGCTGCTGTTAATTTTCAGGACATTACATGTCTAGTTCCTGGTCGGAATGCAGCGATCACGAGTAGCAATTATAGGGCCTTCGGTTTCTGGTTTGAAACTAGATCCTGCAAGCCAGAATTGGCCAAGTGTTTGACTCACTATTTGCCGTGTTTTTTTTTTGTTTTTTTTGTTTTTTTTTCTCTCCCATTTTTCCTGTGGATATCTTTTTTAGGTACTTTCCTGTTTCAGAGTTTAATCTTAACATACTGCCGTTTATAAATATGCTGGATGTAAGCAAAAAGACCTAGGGTTGTAGTTTTCAATGATAGTTGCAGCTGAATTAATCCCCGACCACCTTGTCTCTTTGGAAAGTACAATCGGCCAGTGTCTGATTTTGGGTGTTGCCCCTGATGCATTGTGGGAAGATTTTGTATCTTGGTATCAACTTAGTTTATCTCGGTGATGTAATGAATATGCATACACCTGGGTTCCCGCCTCACAGTAATATGATTGGCTGGTGTCAGCCATAAATACAGACTGATGTGGAGGTACAGGGACGACGCCTATTGTCTTTGCCTATTGCCTACACCTATTGCCTACCACTAGGACGAGGACCAGTCCATTATGGTTACCTGCTAGATTGTCCTACTCGGTTACGGTCGTCCAAAACCACTTTGCTACTTCGAACAAATATATCCCTTTCCGGGACATATCACTCGGAAATAGACCAGTAAAAAATATTGATGCTCTATATGATTACAAGCATGGCTAGTGAAATCATGCCTTGAATTTTATTTCTAGCATTATTATTTACAGCATATAATGTTGGCTGCTGGGAAGAAGGTAATGTTCAGGTCAGTTCTCGTAACTTCTCGAAGATAAACACATATCGTAAATGCTCGTGTAACGCATGATTTCGTGTATGATGCAACTCAAATTTTCACTTATAAAAAAAGATTTTACCATGTATCTTGTGTATCATACGAGTTCCTTTTTTGAGAGACTTAAACTGCTTTTCCTCTATCTTTTTATCCCATCTTCTAGTTAAATAAATTAAAAAAGTAAATGAGAATGATAAAAGTGTCGTTAGTAACGCTATACTCGTTGCTTAAACGCGTCCAGCTATAAACAACCGAACGAGAAACAGGTAAACATCTTAGAAACGTAAACAATAGAAAAGATGCATATTCGTTATGTTTGTATTTTATAATACAATACTAATATGTGAATATTACATACATAATTATTGGATAAAGTTAAGAAAAATATCAGTTTGGTCAAAATCATGTTTATTTTACAGCTCTATTTTAGGACTACTGTAAATGGATATATAGTTTAGTCAATGGCAGGGCCAGCAGTGAATATGTTAATTTTACATCTCATGTATGATGCGACCCTCTTAAAATTAGCTTCAAAATAAATCTTCAAAAATCGCATGATGCCTGAGTATATACGTTAATTTTTTTCACCAACGGGCTGTATGCAATGCTATCCAAAGTTCCGAGCAGTCAACTACTTCATAATGGAGCTATTTCCAAATCCAACTCCTATATCTGCAAAATTTACCCCATGTTTCTGCCTATATATATATATATATATATATATATATATATATATATATGTTTGAAACAGTACAGAAACGTATTATGGAATAAAAAGCAAGAAATTTTATATTATAGACCATGATAGATTTAAAATAAAAACAAAAACACACACACCAGTCGACCGGTTTCGTCCCTTCTCATCAGAACTGTTAACGGGGAACACAAATTATGAAGAGAAAAAAAAAGAAAAAGTCTGTCATGGATGACATGAATGAATGGGCAGGGAGAAGAAAAATATAATTATAAAAATTATGCCAACAAAGATGCTAGAAGCGCAGCACAGCAAGTACAAGCAAAAAATATCTTTGTTTACAAAAGCAGGTCGCCTGGACCTGATGTACAGCGTCTCCAACACCTTAAG